GGGAGAAGGGCCCCTCCTGCCTCCCCTGCCAGTTCAAGCAGAAGAACTCGCAGTGCCGCCCCCCCGCCGACGCGCAGTGTGACCTGGCCGAGTTCTGCAACGGGTCCTCCGCGTCCTGCCCCCCCGACCTGTACGTGCAGGACGGGCACGAGTGTGAGCACGGCACCGGCTACTGCTACAAGGGACGCTGCCGCTCTCCGGACCTGCAGTGCCAGCGGCTCTACGGGAGAGGTAACGGGCTGCTCTGGTTGCACTGGTACTGCAGGAGGTGCCCGCAGTAGTAACGATGCTCAGTTTGTGTCTTTGCTCTTTAGTGCACTCATCTTAGGGCGGTGTCGTCGTGTCTTTTTAACCTGGTTTTGGTGGAAATGAGGGTTTGTGGTTGGTAGCTCGTTTCCGATACTTCCCCCGTGAACCCAATGTCAAGCACCTGTGCGGTTCAGGGACGGCACTTGCTCTGAGACGCGTGATGAGGCGCGGCGCTCCGTGCGAGACTCGTGCCTTGTGTCCCTTCTCCCTGTGCGTGCCGTTAGGGCAGGAGGGAGAGCAGAGCCTGAGACTGGGTGCAGTTCCTGAAAGGGGGGCACCCAGGGGGAAGGGCACAGCTTTGGGAAGCGTTTCAAGCTCGGTTTTGACTCTGGTGAATAAGCACATAGTTCTCCCGATTCTTCAGAGCTAACAGTGAAAACAGCAACCAAAAATAAAGCAAATTATTATCTGTGAGCAAACCTGATCAGGGAACTATCCTACGGTTGGCTAACCCCATGTTTCTGGGGTTCAGGACTGCCGAGGGTTTGGCAGTTCAGGGACAGGTATGATATTTTCTGTAATTAGTGAACAGCGTGGAAAATTACGAGGTTATTAGATACCGTAATACGTCCCTTTGCGTTCCTTTAAATTATAATAAATATTCTCGCTAAACTTGTAGGCTCCAAAAACGCTCCCGTGGCTTGTTACGAGGAACTCAATAGTCAGCAGGACAGATTTGGACACTGCGGGTTCCAGCCCAGACAAGGCTATAAGTCCTGTGTTTGGAGGTACGCTCTAGGGAAGGGGCACTTCCTCCACTAAAAACACGTATTTAATTGGGGCTTTACAGACAAGGAAAGCATCAAGACTCCAGTTGATAGTAAGATTTGTGAAGCAATAAATGGAGTTACGTGTGTGTTCTCCTTGTTAGTAGAACGGTGTCTCTCCTTATGCCACAGGTCGTCTCTTGGACTTCCCGGTCCTGCTTGTTTTTTTCTTACCGTGCAGCGCTCCAGATTTGTGTTGCGCTGTTTAACATTTCTAGCGTTTCATCAGGTAGGACGCACGTATATGTGTGTGCGTGTGTGTGATGCGCATCCTGTGCAAATTGATTTTATAGGAATCTCAGATGTGGAAAGTTAATCTGCACGTACCCGTACAGCACTCCGTTTCCATCAGAGGCTGCTGCTGTTCTTTACGTCCAAGTGCGTGAGCATTTATGTATATCTTTGGATTATTTGAATGCACCAAAAAGGCTGGATCCTCTTCTGGTTCCGCCAGGTACAAAGTGCGGTTCTGGAAAGGTGAGAAAACATTTTTTAATCATCTAAAATGCCAGATATAAATTGTAAATATTAACAAGGTTTTAGAAATACGTACTCCTTTGCCGCGTAAGCGTACTTGATATTAACAACCACTGTAAAAGCACGCAAATGTTGCATGAGAGGTTTGGCAAGGTGTGAGCATTGGACATAACCCAACCCCTAGATAGTAACGGTAGCTTTTTAAAAGCACTGTTGTTGTTTTTTTGGAAATAGTAGATTTTCACTCCTTTTTGGGACATTAAGACTGACAGGCTGCGAGCTGCGGCGGTAAAGCAGCGCTGGACTGGAACTGTTGTGGTTTTTCCTAGGTGTGTATAAACAACACTTGTCACCCACATTCTGTCCTGGGATATGACTGCGACAGCGAAGTGAAGTGCCACGGCCACGGCGTAAGTCGTTCCACGCGGCGCGCGTGGTGCTGCGGAGGCTTCGTCACACGCGTCTGCTGGGTGGGAACTGGTCAAAGACCCATTTTAAGGCGATACTCTACAAAATCATGACCTCGCCGGCTAATACACGGAGTAAAACCGTTTAAACTATTGGTCCTGAAACCGATATCAGAATTTAATGACTGTTTTTATTCACTGAAATGGAGATTCTGATGGTTTGTGGGGTTTATAGAGGGGAAAAGATGAAAGCAATATTGAAGGAACATAGAATTGAGGGCAGCGGAACGAGCGTAGATAGAAAATGTTGCGTGGTGGTAGGGAGCGGGAGAGATGCACGGAGGTCTGGGGGGCTCTCCGCACCCCTGCCTGGCTCTGGAGTGCTGACAGCCAGGGCAAGCCGCTCCTGTTTGCTGCTTATCAGACAGGAATGCGCGTGGGTCTTGCAGGAGGGTGACGCTTTGTGCTTGTTCAACGTCTCGAGGCTATTAGAGCCTGCACTTTATGGCTGTTCCTTGTCTGATCAGAGTGCTGATAAGCACGGGTAGCCTTGTCCCAGCCCGGCCAGCGGCAGCGAGACCAACGCCAGCCTGGGCAGAATCCGTCACATGAATTCCTTGCGAACTTTTACCAGGTGTGCAACAATAAGAGACATTGCCACTGCCACCCTGGCTGGAAGCCCCCCGACTGCCTACGGAAGGGATCCCGCCTGGGGGGAAGCATCGACAGCGGCCTCCAGGAGACGGAGGGTGGTCAGTACCCGTCGCGGAGGTGGGGGCAGGCGTTGGGCTGGGGACCCTGGCGCGGGCAGGGAGGGTGACGGCCCGCTGCCCACTGGGCTGCGTCCTGCCAGGCCTCTTGCTGC